TGTGTGTGTATGTGTGTGACATCGGGGTTTGGTTTGTGCATGAAGCAGGAATGTGAACAACTCACCTTTTTTATCTAGCGCAGAGGCCCAGCTAGCTGCCGGAGCATGCCTGGCTGGCCTGCTTGTCTTTTAAAGCCCTGAAAGAAGTGCAGCAGAGCAGGAGCAAGTTGTTGCCCTCACAGGCAGAAACATAGTTCAAGACGAATTAATAATACATAAGGCCAGCACGAAACAAAGATGTAATGGGAGGAAAGTGCTGCTAAGTTGGCACATTTGTGGTATCTTTTTGTCTGACTTTATTTAAACAGGCAGCAGTTTGGCCTGTCAGTGAGTGGCAGTGTGAAAAACAGACAGGATGGTGGTTAAATCAGTCAAATGGTGGTAAATTTTGGCTGTGGCTGTTAAGTTGGTCTATCCCACCAGCCACCATCTGGACAACCTATTTTGTACTAAAAATGGAGCTATGCTGGCTGGAAGTGGCTGGATTTGGTGATTTTTGTGTGTGCGTGGGTGTAAAGAGGTGCTTTCCTGCCCATGCCAGAGCTGCATCTGACCGTTTCTATCCACTACACATGTATTAGTTCCTTTAGGACACCATTTTTTGGCCACTTTCTCAGCTAATCTGCTGCATCTAACTGGTCTTGCAACAATGCCAGTGTGCTGCCCTGGCCTTTAAGGAGAGGTACTTGGGTGCCAAGTGGTGACTTCATCCTGACATTTCCCTGTGTTGACACTAGAAACTCTTTGACTGAGCTTGGCCAGACACAACACACGACGTGCAGATGTGTCCAAGCTGTCATAACTGTGCAGACGTCGCATGTTGCCCATTGTTATTGTGTGTTAAGGCTGCAGAGGGATTAGGATTGAATCCCTGAGACTTCTGCAGTTAATATCAATATGTTTAATTGACCTGCAGAGTTCGCTTAAACCAAGTGAATTGATTATACTTATCATGGATCCCTGACGCCAGAGCCCTTTGGGACACTGTGCTGACATTAAAAGATGTCTTCTACAAAAGAGTGTGCTGTATTTTTATTCAAGATAACAATACGAAAAGGGCCTGCAACAAGATCAAATGTGCGTATCACGTACAAAGTGATGAAGTGACTCCTTAAACAATAATGTCATTGATTGAATGCATGTACTTCCCTGTGCTCTGCAGCCTAAAGTTTTATTTTGTAGAACTCTACCAACTTTTGGCTTTAGGAGACTTTGTGTACATTAATTCAGTAAGAGCAGGTTTCCTCTGTAATTAACAGCTGGGGAAATCCAAACAGATGGTCATGATCAATCACTTTTCTGCTTTTTATCATACTGGTACAGACATCTGCTATACACACACTTAAAGGTGTAAGACAGGAGTAGCAATCGTACATGTCCACATGGGCGTTTTTGGATTCAAAGGTCCACAACGTTTCCCAGCAGTGGATGCTTTATTGGGCAGATGATTGACAGGTGTTCTCCTTCCCTGAAACCAGAAACCAACACAGGCTACGCCCTCCTACAACTGCATAAACTCTTGCTGCTCCTGATAGGATGAATGCTCTTCTCGCAGGCTGTCTTGCTTTGGGATTTCAAATCAAACCAACATGCCAGCTTGTCTAGTATTATGAATGCAGTTCACCGAAATGTGAGGTGAGAAATAGGCCATGCAGTTGCTGAACCTGTCTTCATTTTCAATCAACAATGGTTAGTTTAGAAGTTTTTCGAGTGTTTCCAGAAGTGGCAAGTCTGCGGGAATGGTCTCGATCTGCATAAATTAGCCTGAACTTCAACTTTATGCAGATGAGGAGCAGGCAGCTATGCCCACAAAATGCTGAAAAAAATTCTCATGATAATTTTAGCGATGACAAAGTAACATCATCAAACCCCAGGTGACTCACAATAGTGTAAGCAGCAAATTCTCATATTTCTCAACTTTGTGTCATTTTTTGCACAAAAAAGTTAATAGTTGGTGATTTAAGCTCCTAATTGCATGATTGTATCAACTGCTCTGTCATTATGTAAAAAAGAAAATGTTAACTTTGTTCATAGAAGTTCATGGCTCAGAGGCACCGTGTGTTACAGTATGCTCCAGCACGATGACATAATGGACAACGTCGATGAGTAAAATTTAACTTATTATGATCTTTTAAGAAGTACTCAAAGAACAGCACAGGACCAAAAATATGACCAACATAAGCAGAGTCTCTTAAAGGGTCTTTTCCTATGATTTATATTGTGATGCAGTCACCGGTTTTGTAAAAATTCATTTATGTGTTTCATCAGTAGTCAAAAACCAACATTCAGTGACATTTCACAGACTGTTACAGAAGCAACAGCAAACAATAACAGAGATTTTTATTTTTTTTGGAAAGTATGAAATGACTTTTGCCGGTTCGCGTCCCTGTGGAGGCACCGGAATCTTTCTGCGTGGAGTTTGCATGTTCTCCTCATGCAGCGTGGGTTCTCTCCGGGTTCTCCCGCTTCTTCCCACACAGTCCAACAACATGTTGAGGTTACTTGGTGATTCTAAATTGTCCGTAGGTGTGAATGTGAGTGTGCTTGGTTGTCTGTCGCTAAGTGTAGCCCTGCGATGGACTGGCGACCTGTCCAGGGTGTCCCCTGCCTTCGCCCTAAGTCAGCTAGGATAGACTCCAGCCCCCCCACGACCCTAGTGAGGATTAGGCGGTGTATAGATAATGGATGGATGAAATGACTTTGCTGTGGCGTGGTTTTAGCACTGTGGTAATGCACTTCCACAAGTTAGCAGACCACACCTTTTGTGGCAAAGCCATCAACAAAAATATAGCAGAACTGAGGTCAAGTCTTGTCTTGTCCTCAGAAGTTTTTGGAACTTCACCACTCCCATGTTTTCTTTTTTTTTCTTGGCAGAACACACAGCCACAGGGTCAAAGGAAAAAGCTCACCTGTTACACATGCAGCATGTTCTCTGCAGTATTTGAACATTTACTAGCTAAATGTTAACTGAAGAAGGGATATAGTACCATTATAGCTACCTATTCATACATTTCCAAAATAGCCAGTAAATGCATGAGTGATTGTAGCTTATAAGCAACAGATTGGATCAGAAAGTTAGCAGTAACACACACTCAAAACACAGTTTAATCCTGCATACAGACAAAATGGTTCAAGATGGGCCCCTTGAAACCTAAGACCTCTTCAACTTGTCAGTGATCTGCCTTTGTCAGCCGCAGTGAGGCTGTACTCCACAGAAAACTGCGCCTGTGTACCTTTTTGCTACCGCAGCACAGCCGTGACAAAGGTGCAGTAATGTTCCCTTTTCTTCCTGAGAATGTATATGTGCCAGAGAAGAAGACAAACATTTGTATTGGGTTTACTTTTCTTCTTGTTTGGTGACCTCATTTCAGCTGAAATAGAGACCCCTACATGACCTGCAGCCACAGGGGAAATGAACACGGGAAAGTACGCTGTATCCTGACTCCTCACATATACCGCAGCGTTTACTGTGTCTAACAATTTCACTAGCTCAGGCCTGCACTTGTATTTATTCTCTTAAACTTGGCTTGTGAAATTTAATCTAAACCTGTCACTCATCCTCCCGATCTGTATTTTCAGCAAATTAAATTGTCTTAAATTAAGGAAATTTGAATATTTTTTACCCCCTTTTAGCTAAGAACATGCAGTTCTTAGTCAGGCGGTGAGTAATGAATTAGTTAGAATGTAATTCTTTTAGTTTCACATTGATCCGTGGCTTGTGTGGGTTGGTGTTAAAATTTCTGTGTAAACCCAGCCGCGATGTTGATGTCTGTGCCATCATTGCCTGCTTTTTGTTTAATTCCGATTCCCTTTCCTGGTTTTGAGAAGTGAATCACTGGGCAGGGGGATGAAAACGGGCAGCCATGCCAGGCCACAGTTGGCAAACATGGGGGAGGCTGCCTGACCTTTTCTCAGCTCAGACTCAATGTTAGCCCGCAGTGACCAGCTGTTCGGCTGCAGCTGATGTGTGCTCCACCCTGCAAGGCTTTCATTGGCAGCATGCCTCACACACTACTCATAGTGGAGACACACACACACACACTCACTTATTATTGTGGTTTTGCCTAACTACGCTATCTCACAGTGCACAGCCTG